AACTGTGACATCACTGTTATAGAACATTTATAGAACGTGTTTGCTGGGTAAGCTTTCCAAATAATCCAGTGTCCTAATAACCGGCGTTCCAGTGTATAATTGCGAACAATGAAGCGCTGCGTGAGCATCTTGCGTCTAAAAGACAAAGGAGGCTCCGCTGCCTCAGAAAAGAGTACAACAATAGGAGTAGAAATCATAACACCAAGAGCGACTCTAAGGGCGGCGCATTGAGCCCTATCGAGCATTTGTAGAGTAACTCGATTAGCAGAACTTGCATCGGAAAAGTAGCTCCTAAATCTGCAAGATATATATTGAACAAAAGCGGGGAAAGCACTCTTTCCTGTGGAATCCCAACACCACAACCTCTTCCAGTGGAAGAGCTCAGGACAAAAAGCTCCCTGCGCTATGTAAGAGCAGCAACAAAATTGATGATTCGGCCAGGAACATTTAGCATTTTTAGTTTCTCCTTGAGAATCAAGGGTCCAACATAATTAAAAGCGCCCTTTATATCCACTGTCAGAGCCGAAGTAATTTTACCTCTTCTAAAACCCTGCAAGATGTCAGTGGTGACAGTAGCCACACAATCCATGGAAGAACGTTTGCGTCTGAAACCAAATTGGAAGTTAGGAACTATATTGCGTGCCTCCACAAAGTGTTCCAGTCTTCGATGAACCATTCTTTCCATTAATTTACAGAAAGTGAAAGTCAGAGAAATAGAGCGAAAGCCCTTTCCCCTAGTTTTAGGGATAAAAACTACTTTAGTGTGTCTCCAAGCGTCGGGGAGTGATGACCCGAGATAGAATTTATTGAACAGAGAGAGGCAGAATACCTGAGCATCCAAGGGAAGAGCCCGAATCCATTCCCATATAACATAGTCATTGCCAGAAGTTGTCTTAGTTTTGTCTTTTGACATTGCAGAACGAAATTCCGAAGTTGAGAACGGGAAAATTAATGAATCCGTCTCATCAAGCAAGGGGAGACGGGGAATAGTACTTGGGGGGATTTCCTCACACACCAGTTCATCCTAAAACCTCATGATCTCGGGAGTAACAGTGGAAGGATCTCGAAAGCAGGGACCACTTGGACCACTCCTGAGAGATTTAACTACACACCAGACCTTTGGATAGCCCAAGGTCAGGAGTCAAGTCTTCGTACATCGATCTAAAGGAGTCCCTCTTTTTATTGCGTAAGAACCACTTGACCTCCAAGTCAACCAGCTTGGCATTTGCTTCATTTTCGGGAGTTTGGTGAAACCAAAATAATTTATGCACCTCCTTTCTCCATCTTATCGCCGCATCACAGTCAACACTCCACCAAAGCGGACGAGATCTTGAAGTCTGTGAGCTCTTTGAAGGCAGAAACCCATTACTGGACTCAATGGCATCAAGAATTGTTTTGACGAATATATCGTTGACCTCAACGTAAGAAATTCCCTGCTCAAAAGGACTAACCAACTGGGGAATGCGATCCTCTATATAGCCTTTATAGGCCAACCAATCAACCCCTTCCACATTGTATCTCAGAGAAGATGCCTTACAGAAATTTAACTCCCAAGAAATTAAGGCAGTAAGTAAAACATGGTCAGAGCCGAAATGGTCCTTCGTGACATCACATGAAAAAACATGGGAATTTTCGGCTAATGTAAAAACTAAATTTAAATTGGAATGCGTGCGTGTGTCCAAAGAACAGAAAGTTGGCTGACTATCGTTCAGCGTGACAAAACTCTAATTAGCCGCAACAGAAGAAAGATGTCTACCACGGAGATCATCATGAATTGACCCCCAGCTCTCATGATGAGCGTTGAAATCGCCACAGATATTTGGAAAGGACGAAGAACATACGAGGTCAAAAAGAAACAGCCAATCACCATAATCAGTCTCAAGGTTTAGGGGACAATAGAGACATAAAGAGATGTTTCCCAAACGGGTATTGATGCTAATCGCCACCAAGTCCAATTCGCCACCACAAAAAATCGGATTGGAGATAGATTCGACCCTCAGACCATCTCTAGTCAGTATCATTTACACCTCCCCCTCTTCCCGCGATACGATCAGCCCTACGCACTGTGTAGCCAAAGATGTGGAAAGTTAACTCTTGTGTAAGCCAGGTCTCAGTGATGCACAGAACATCCAGTTGATGTGTATGTAGAATTGATTCAACCTCAGCCTTCCTGTGGACAACGCTGCTGGTATTCCATAAACCCAATTTTAAATTATCGAGCGACATAGTAAAGCGATCAACTTATCAAACAAATTATAAAAGAGTAAAACAAATAGTTGGGGACGAGACGAGCCATAAAACTTATAAATTCATTTCCTCCATAAAAGTGATTTTGGAAAATTCGACAGACTTCGGAAACAGTGCCGAAAGGAATTTCTCACTCGAAGAAGAAGAGGAAGATACCAAGGTAACAGCATTCTTAGAAAAAGCAGACGATCGGGCAGAAGGCTGTAAATCTGTTTGAGGTCCAGCAAGAGAAAGTCTCTGCAAATTACGGATAATGGACGCAGGGAATCGAGGCCTGCAGATACCCTGTGACTCAAGAAAAGATTCAGCCTCATCAAATCCACAGGCTTTTTCATATCGAATTCTCATATTCAAAAACGTATACTAGACACTCCCTGGAGGATGCAGCATCTGCACCTCGACAATTCGAACAGAGAGCTGGCCTAAACTTGTTGTGACATTTTTCAGCTTCGTGAAAATCAGCATAGGAATCGCAAATTGGCCTAGAACTCCTGCATTAACCGAGCACGCGACGATATCTCTGACAGAAAAAACATCTTCTAGGAGGAGGAATTACAGGGGTTACTGCACATGCAATATTTGCGATGTTTTTTGGTATAACTTTTTTCATTCCGTTCAATCTTGCCAATTCACAGAAGTTACAATCACAGTTAACAGATTCATTTAATCTTGTTTGTTTTTTTATTTTGTCAATTTGGTAAATAATATCAAACTGTACCCATTCACCCGAAAAATTTGAAAACTCAGGGTGGGAGGATTTTGACGGACAACAGAAAAGTTTTTTGTGAAAAATTTTCTGACATTGTTAACAAGTACTTACATACAAAGACAAATGGCGCTAGAGAGATAAAACAAAATAAACGCGATGGCTCAACTCTGATCACTGTCCAACCCTGACTGCTGTCCCATACAAAGTAACAATTATATATTATTTTTATATTACTGTTACCGTCAAAGCGGGTAACTTCGGACAGGAGGCCAACTCCGGACACTCGTATATTTTTAAAAATAATTTGTATTTTTTAGCATTTATTTTATTTTATTGAACATCCAAGAAATACAATGTGTTTCCTTATGAAAACTATTAGAAAGAAGGGAAATAAAAGGTGGATCTCTAGAATTTTCTATAAAATTGATATAATCTTCATCCGTTTCGACTACTTCTAATCTCTTCTTTTTTTACCTTATATATTCCAAAATTTCTATCGCAAGAGCAATAGGAGTGATCACGGACAGGATAAACATGTTGCGCTTCAATATCAAATTTTTCCGATAACAATGCCATTTTTGAAACTTTCTCTCAAGATCCTTGTTTATGTTAATATCCCACCAGCTGTCCAGAGCTTTCATCAATTCTGATTGTGACTCGCTTTCTACTTTATTATGTGCAAGCCCATCAATAATTTTTGTACAAATGTCCTTTTCTATAATAGTATTTTCTAATTCATCATCAGTCATGTCGTCAGTTTTTGTTTCTGATTCTTTCTCACTAGCATTGTTTGTTTCCACATTTACACCTATATTGTTTTATCCTCTTGTTATTATGAAAAATTTATCTAATATTTCTGATCCGGCTTTTTCAATCACACTATTTTCACTCTTTTTTAGCCTTCCCCTTTTTTCTTGCCCGTCTCTTCTATAATCCTTTCATTTCTTTTTCTGTTTATTGACAGATTCAGTATGTTTGTTTTGATTCATTCCCTTTAAATTCTTGTCTTTGCGCTTCTTCGTTACCGCCAGAGATGGCGCCCTTATTTGCTTCCCTTGTCTCCCTCTATCTGTCATCGATAGTAACTTTACCGAAAGTCTCATCGTTTCCTTGATCAGTCTTCCTAACCTTATCATTCACCATACCCACTTTGTTTTTAACTAATAAGTCCCAAAGATCACTAAAAATCGCCAAGTTAACACTCCCACCTAATCAGGACTTGATGCCCTTGCGAACAAACTCACGCCAACACTCGCGAAATACGACTATCCACCGAAAATTAGTAACAAAAACCAATACAAATTCTTCACGCGTACGATCAGCTCTCTAACCAAACCGGAAGTCCTCAATTAATTTTTAATAATTTAATTAATAATATTATTTAGAAGTAATGGGAAGATGTTGTTTTCACGCCCTGTGAGTAAAAACGCCTACTCTACGTGGCGACGTGATATCCGGCTGCACGCGTTTCCTTAAAACTTGAAAATTTAGTAACTTATTTAATAAATCGCTTTGAAAATTTACAAAAAACTTTATTACACATTGATAAAAATGTCAAATGTCTCATTGAAAGTTCTTTAAACTCGGAACTTCCCCGATTACTTTTTGTCGGCAAAAGTAAGAAAACATGATTATCGATAGGTCCTTAAATAACAATTAAAAAATTATTAAACAAATGATGATTACGAACATTGTTATTATGTTATCCTTTTCTTCATAGTTCAATGTGTTAAGATATCAATTTTCAAGTAATTTCATTAAAAAAGAAAATTAAAGTGTTTTGACTTTTAGGTTAAATTTTTTAGGCGCACTGTACGCCACGATACGATTCTCAATTGCTTATTATGTCCGGCTGCGCCACGATACGATTAGTATATTATAAACGTGTCAAATCGTGACACGACACGGCACTTTCTTAAAATTCAACAGTATTTCCTGTCTGTGACAGTCCCTGAAAAAATACGTATTTCCTTATTTTTCATAAAAATTTAAAAAAAATAAAAAAAACAATTTGAATCTTAAATTTTTATTTTGTTTATTTCAGATATTCAGGATGAGTGTTTAGAGACCATGAATATTGAAAGTAGCACACAAAGTTCTGATGATGTGGAGAAAGAAAATATGGAGGATGTAAAGAATGATTCTTCAAATACTTTTATTAATGAATCCGAGGAATCTGAATCCAAGACAAATTCAAATGTATCTACTGTCATTAACTTAAATAATAGTTTACAAATGATTGGTGAAGCATACATTTCAGAGGATTCTCAAGAGTCAGATGACGAAACTCTTCCCCAAAGCGAAACGAATAAAAAAATAGATAATAAAATGGAAATCGTGCAGAAAGATATTACTAATGAAGAGGAGAAAGATATTACGGATAGTATTGATGAAAATATCGATTTAACGAAAATAATCACGAATGATGTTAAAGAAGTTGATGAGTGTACGGTAAGGGATGACTTAAAAGACTGTGCAGATCTCGAAACTCAAAACTTATCTGTAGAAAGCAATTCTGTAAATCAAATTGTTCATAATGAAAATATTTTGTCAAGTACAACTATTCCTGATACTCAGTCTATTGAATTGAATGAACCTTTATCAAATGAATTAAATTTGCCAGATAATCATCAGAGCGAAGTACTTTCTTCTATTTCCGCAGAAGATGTTTCTTTAGAAGAAAAAGATTCGAATAAAATGTCAGAACTGTGTCCTGCAGAAGACAATGCGACAACAAAATTTGTTGAGGAAGGGAATTCACAAGATACTCCAAAAACTAATGATGAAATATCTACTAAAGATGGGGCAGAAGAAGTTCCGGTCGCGAATAAAGAGGTACTTAATTCAGAAATGCCTGATAATAACGATGAATCAACGTTTGATGACAAATTACAACAGTCTTCAAGTAATTTAGAAAAATTAACTAATGTTGGTAATATGGAAACTACAGATAGTGAAAACTTAAATACAAAACAAGAGATTAATGAAAAGAGTGACCAGGAAGTAGAAACAGATATTTCCAGTATCGTAGATGAAGAAAAATTAAATGATTTAGATAATCAAAATCCTATTTTGAATAGTGAAAGTAAGGAAACATTGGAAATGGAAGAAATGAATGAAGAAAAAAGTGAAACATCAGTTGAGAATATTGAAAACACGGATGATGTATTTACGGTAAAAATAGAAAATCAACAACAACAAATGGAAAAAAATGAAGAGACGAATATTTTAAAAACAGAGAATTGTACAGAAAATATAATTAGCAATAATCAAAATGAAGATAATCAAGAATTAACGACTTTCGAATCTATGAATACATCGCAATTGAAAAAAGTTAATGTTTCAGAAAATTGTGATATGTATGCATTATGTGAAAACCCAATAGAAGTGAGTGAAAAAATATCTCTTAAATTAGAAGATGGAGAAGAAGAAGGAGAAGAACTTTCAAGTTCAAATTTGTCAAAATCTGATGAAAAAATAAACGAAAATAAAACTAGTAACACAAAAAGTCCTGATATGAAAATTCAATTAGAATATCAATCCACCGAAATAGAGACAGAAATTTATGAAGATATTCAAAATGATTTCAAGTCAGAAGATAATGTTTTTTCTGAAAACAAATCTAAAATAATTGACAATGATCCTGACTCTAATTTTTCAAACACTGACGTTTCTGAATTAGAATCGGCAGTTAAGTTTTTGCAAGAATCTGAAGAACAGATTATAGATTTACCTCTAGAACTTGCACCAAAAAATCAAGAAAATGTTGTTACAAATTTATCAGAACAAGAGGATTTTTTTATTTCCGAAAAAGATAATGATGAAAGTTCTTTGGTAATAGTTTCAACCATTGATTCCATTGAACAAAATTCTATTGCAATTTCAGAAGCTGAAATTATTTCCGAAGCTGCGAAATTAGAAAGTGAACGTAAAGCAACAGAAAGTGCAATATCAGAAGCTGTTATAATTTTTGAAGCTGAAAAATTGGAAAGTGAGCGTAAAGCCGTGACTGAGGAAAATTTAAAAGAAGTAATTTCATCTGAATCTTCTTCTTTAAAAAGGAATAAAATAAATAAAGAAACAGTATCAAGACCTTCGGAAGTACCATTTTCTTTGAAACATTCAGTTATTGAAGAGAGATTGAAAGAACCACCGAAAATTGTAATTCCCAATCAGGATATAGTAAAATTCGACTCATTTTCTGCCTCAAAATCTAGTTTGTTAATACAAAAAGATGCAAAAATTTATCAAAAAATTGAATGTTCTATAAAAGCATCTGAGAAAATGGACGTTCCAAAGAAAGAAGAAAAAACTGATTCGGAGAATGTTGGTTCACCTAGAATTATTTTGAAAATTGCAAAATCTGCAATAACAGATTGCGGAGAACCAAAATCGCCAAAAAGTCCCAAGGTACATTCTGCTGCAAACTCTCCAAATCCAGATGATAGTCCAGGTCAAAAACTAGGTAAAATAAAATTAAAGTTATCTAAAAGTGGACATCTCTCTATTGTATCTAATGAAAATTTAGAGGAAGTTTCTACACCAACTTTGTCTCCCATTGGAATGAAAATTAAATTATCCAAATCAGGCGAAGCTTCAGTTGTACAGTCAGAAAAAATTGAAGACGATGAACAAGTTGAACATAAACCAGAGGAAGGTCCAATTGGTATGAAAATCAAATTAACAAAGTCTGGTGATGCATCAATAGTTTCACAAGATTTAAAAGAAATTTCCTTACCCAAAAGTAAAGAAAAATTGGAATTTATTCCCGATGTAAAGAAAAATGAATCTTCATTAGGCATGAAACTTAAATTATCGAAAACAGGAGACGTTTCAATAATACCATCTGAAAAACAGTATACAGTCGATGAAGTAATTTTAAAAAGCAAAGAAAAGCAAGAGCCCCAACAGGAATCAACAAAACGAACTGAATCACCACTTGGAATGAAAATTAAGTTATTGAAAAGTGGTGATGCTTCTATTGTTTCATCTGATTTTTCCGAAGAAGTAAAAACAATTCCCACCGTAAGTGATATTGCCGAAATTGATAAATTCAGAAGTGAATCACCAGTTGGTATGAAAATAAAATTATCAAGAACTAAATCGTCAGTTGTTGACAGTACAGAAGAAAAATTAGACATTCCCGATAATTCAAAATCTGCACTAGGTATGAAAATTAAATTATCTAAATCTGGAGATGCATCCATTATACATCAAGAAGATTCCGAAGAATTATCAAAGCAAAAAGAAGTCCCAGATACTACAAAACATACCGATTCTATTGGCATGACTTTTAAAGTATCAAAAACTGGCGAGGCAACAATATTACATTGTAAATCTGCCGAATTATCAAATGCACAACCGGAAAAGTTTGATTATTCAGAAGACTCTCATTTAGAAACATTCAAAAAAGTCGAATCATCAAGTGAAATGAAACTAAAATTAATAAAAACTGTCGATACTTCTTGTGACAATAGCCCTGAGATTAAATCAGAGGAACAAGAAACAAAGTCTTCTCAAACTGTCAAAACAAAGCATGTGAGATTAAAAGATTTAACAACCGTGGACATGGAACGAAAAGAAAAACAAAAAACAAAAGATACAACTAAAAGAACTGATGAACATTCTTTAGAAATAAAAATTAAATTATCGAAAACTGGTCATCCTACAATAGTAACGTCCGAATGTAATTTAGATACTTCATCTTCCAATAAAAATAAAGAACAACCAAATTTATCTTACAAGTTTACAGAAGCTAAAGAAGAATTATATTCCAAAAATTCTGAGTCTTTCACAATGCAGAATGAATCCGAAGTAATTATCGAATCGCAAATTCAGAAAAGTGAAACTTCAAAAGAGATATCTCACAAGCGTAAAGGCATCAGTTTTTCTCCATCCGAACCAAAGAAACTGAAATTTGAGACGAAATTATCTGATATATTGCCTGAAGTCACAATTCAACCTGTGGTCTCACATCAACAGAAACGAATTATCCTCGAGTCGAATAGCAATGTCACGCAAGAAATGATAAATATTATTAATCAAGAAGTCAGTATTACGGAAATTAAATCAAAAGGAAGCAATGAACCATCGCTAACAAGTAATGCCACTGAGGATAAAATGATCAATAAAATGTTTTCTTCATCGCCTACTAGTTCAGATTGTGAAATTATTGAACATAGACCGGAATTGGTTATTGTTAATGAAAACTCAAATTCGAGTCAAGATGTTGTTATTATAGAAGAAGTTCCTTCGGTTCGATTATCAGAAGTAAAAATACCAAAGAAAAGAGGTCGGCCACGAAGAAATGACACAAGTTCAAGATTTGTGGAACCAATTCAAATAATTTTACCTCGAGACCCACTTGCACTGGATGATGCTACATCGCTTTCTCACAAACCAAAAGAAAATGAACGACCCAGAAGAACTTGTAGAAGTCAAAAAAGTTATGCACCACCTAAGAGAGGGAGAGGAGGACGAGGTTAGTTATATTCTTTCTACTATTTTTAAATACATAAGAGTCAATCCATTATATTGGCCTATTTTTAGAAAAATCTTATAATTATTTTTTATATCCATACAATTAATTTTTTTTTTAAGTTCTGGAGGGAGTAAAAGTTTATTCAAGGAATAAATTATTGATTCAACAGCATTTTTTTCGCAGTGTAGACAAAATTTGAAAAATTTACCATAAACTTTGAATTTAAATCCTTTAAGAACGAGAATTTCATTGACATATAATACATAAGTATTTAAAAAAATTTTGTTTGAAAATATTTTTTTCGAAGTTATTAGGTATAAAAAATTGCTTAAACCTGTAAATATCTTATCTTAAATTTTTAAAACTGAAAATGGTGCAAAAGGTTTTTTTTAATTCAAGATAGTGTACCAAAAATATCGCCTAAATCCAACAGTTTTTATAAAATCATAACCTAGTGAACGAAATTTTCAAAAATGATAAAATTTGCTTGAAACTTGTTATAAGCAGGTATTTGGGATCGCTGATTACGAATCTGGTGTTATTTTATCTAAATTCAAAATGGCGGATCCAATATGGAGGATAAATTGTTGAAAATCTAATGCAATTCGCTTTAAACTTGTTACTAGGGGGTTTTAGGGGTCGCTGATTACGAACCCGAAGTCAGTTTTTCAAAAATTTTTAAATTCACAACGGTGGATCCAATACGGCGGACGACTTTTTCAAAAATTGAACGGATTCTCTTGAAACTTGTTTCTAGGGGGGTTTTGAGGGTCGCTGATTATAAATATGACATCAGTTTTTCAAAATTCTAATGACAAATTGAAACCAAAAACTCTCGAGTAACGATTTTGAAGCGAATCAGATTAATTTTTAAATTTTCTTTCTCCATATTGTTTCGATATTTTGAATTTAAAAAAAATGAAATGCCAGATTAACGGGGATTAAAAATCCTCAATTAACGAGTTACATGCAAATTTGATCAATTTTAGAAAAAGTCTTCCTAATTTTGAAAATTTTGAAAAACTGACATCGAGATCGTAATCAGCGACCCCAAAAACCCTCGGGTAACAAGTTTCAAGCAAATATAAGCATTTTTGAAATTTTCGTACACAAGGTTATGATTTTGTAAAAACTGTTGGATTTAGGCGCTATTTTTGGTACGTTATCTTGAATTTAAAAAAAAACCTTTTGCACCATTTTCATTTTTGAACTTAAAGGTCACGATATTTAAAGGTTTAAAGCATTTCTTAATATCTGATAATTTCGAAAAAATATTTTCAGAAAAAAAGTTAAAAAGCGTTTTTTTTTTTAAAAACATGGCTATATCTTTTCTATTTTTTTTTCAATTTTGATTGCGGATTTAGAAAGAGCGACCATAATTATATATGTAAAGGACAGTACTTCTTAAATTTTTTAATTTTGCATTTGCAGAAAAATATGTTAATTAAATTCGATTATGTAATGTAAAATTATGTAAATTATGTAAAAAAGCACAGAAGTAATATAGATAATATCAATTTCTTTATTTATAATTGTTCAAAATATTCTGAATTAATAAGTCATTGTTATTACATTTCAATAATTTTTTTACACTTTTATAGTAAATATTTAATGTTTTTTAAAAATATTTTCTACTGACTGAACAAATAACAGTATTTAGCTTCTCATATACTTTAAATTTATATTTCACAATATCAAACATTTTTATAAAATTCTTTTCATTTCATGATTTTGATACCTTCGAAATAATTCTTGCAAAGTATTTTAATTTTTTTAATTATTCGGGGACGGCTTTAGCCAAAATATAATGATTTGACCCATCATTTAAAAAAATTATATTTTAACGTTTTACATATAATAAGACAAAGATCATAATATTAAGTACAAAATTTTTTCTTATTCAATGTTTTAGAAAGAAAAATTATTTTAATTATCTTAAGTTTCAATCATTCTGCATGAACGTATACAACATAAAATCTTAAACAGCTTTTGTTTTAATTTTGATGTTTCTATAGGTCGAGGAAAAAGAAAGCTTGATAATACTGAAATGCCACTACACAAGAAGTCTAAAATTGATCAAGACTTAACTGCTTTAGAAAAATCTACTATGAGTATCATTGCAATAGATAAATTTCCAAAAAAAATTGAAAAAGTTAAAGAAAAGGTATGTGAGATACCTGTACCTACCTCCTTGAAACTAATGAAAGATGTTCCTGAAAATTTGCCAGATGATTTAGAGAAAATATCTCACAATATTTCTGAGAAAATATCTATTTTGAATTCCAGTAAAGAGGAATTAATTGCTTCGAATGATAACGAGAAAAATAATGTAATGATAAATGATCATCAGAATTGGTTAACACCAACTTCAAAAAAAGTTACTGAACCTTCAACACGCAATGAATCTATTTCTACAGTTCAAGTTATTGACGAAGAAACAAGAATGAGTGCAGAATCTGGATCACGATCTCAAACACCAGCCAGAAATATAGTAACAGGTATGTTAATTAATAAAATTTATATATGCAGAGAGTTCAAAAATACAAAATCTGGGATGTATGAATATTTTCTTCATTAGACTTGCCGGAATTTTTGTGGTATTGAATTGAAAATTATCGAATTTACATTTAGTAGAATTTTAAAAGTAGATTTTATGATGAGCCCAATTTTAAGTATCGGTGAAATAGAAATTCTCTGTCTTAAAAATTTAGCTAAGTAGAATTTCTGTTAAATAACAATTCTATTCAATAAAAATTAGATTATGTGTAAAAATTCCTGAAGTGGATCACCCAAATTAAAGATGTACTGTATTTGCTTGGAAATATAGAAAATTAAAACAATATTATGAGTTGAAAAACTGCCTCAAAGGATTTTTCAAAAAAATTAAATTTCTCAAAGTTATAAACAATTGAAGTTTTTTGTTGTCTTAAGTTAAAAAATAAATATCTTAGAACTAAGTGAACGGATCTTTATAAAAATTGGTATACTTACACAGAAAATGATACAGTTTTATTTGAAAATTTGAAAATTAAAAATTTAAGATTTTTAATAATTGTTATTGCAAAATTAATTGTTTATATAAAAAATAAACCATGTTCTTGTTGTCGTAGAAAGTTGATCCAAAGTTTATTGGAAAGGGAATTTCATAAGGATTCGGAAACTGTTTTAAAATTTCGTGGATCGCAATTAGCAAAAAAGTTTTTCTTCAAATACAGGCTTCGCACTCTTTAACTAAAAGCTACTATTTGCTACTTTTTTGATGGTTGGCTACTTTTTGGCTACTTTTTTCAACCTTAGGCTACTAAAAGCTACTTTTTCACTATTTAGACAACTTTTTGTTACTTTTTTGCTGACTAATGAGTTCAAAACCTGTATATGGTTTTAAGTAATTTTAAATAGCACACAAAAATGGGATCTATAAAGTGCTGAATATCTTGCGGTTACTTTAACCCATTTAAATTTATGAAAAACTGTGAAAAATTGGTATTAAATCAGTTCTTTAAATTTCAAATATGCCTAAATAAATATTAATTAAAAACTTAAAGATTTTAAAATTTTCTAGAAATTAGAAGAAAATAAAAAAACTAGATAAAAATAAATATCTAAATAAAAATAAAAATAAACTATATAAATAAAAAACTAGAAATTAAGAAAATAGAGTGATTTATCCCCACCACCGAAATATATATAGATAACCGGCTATTTTTCACAGTTTTACATAAATGTTAATGCGCTAGGTTAAAGTAACCGCAAGATATTTAGCACCTTATAGATCTAATTTTTGTGTCATTTTTGTGTGCTGTTTAAACTTACTTACTTTCACAGACCAACTTTGAAAACATATTTTATCTATTATTTTCATTTTTTCACTTAATTAACAAACCCCCAAAAAAAAAATTTTGTCCGGAAAAATAGACTAGTCATTCTTACGTATTTTGGGTCACTGAATCCGAATCCGGGGTCAGAATTTAAAAGTTGGTTCTTATTTTTGAGATAAACTCAAAAAACTGCTTAAAAAAGAAAAAAAATCAAAAAGTGAAAAAATTTTTGTATGACACTGCGATAGTGTAATTCCATGTATTTTTAGCCACCGATTCCGAATCCAAAGTTATAATTGTTAGATTTGCTGAAATATTTTAAGATAATTGCATAAATCTCAATAAACAAAAATTCAAAAAAACTCAAAATCAGTTTTTCTGACTTTTTTTTCTGACTTCGAATTCGAATTCAGTGGAAAAAAGTACAATGTACATGGAAATACAATATCGTAGTGTGTCGGCAAAAAATTATCTTTGTCGACAGGAAAAACAAAGTGTTATTTTAACACCAGAATTGGTGTTAAAATAACATGCAACAAATTTAACCCTAAATCTGGGTTATATCTTATGGGTTTTTGCATTGGAGAAAATTACCCGCAACAAAAATAACACCATCTTTTTTCTGTGTCCCTAATTCAGGATTTTTATCAGATTTTTGCGATTATCTCTAAGAACTACGACGTAACAATGACTACTCCATTTCGCCGGACAAAATTAATTTTTTTTCTGAGGCTGTGTAGTCAATAAAAGATAATAAATTAATTAATTCTGAACAAGAGACAGTAAAATACATTGTACATTTTAAAAGAGTTGTCAATATTTTTAATAATCTTTCTAATTGCTAAAAAAAATGAGTTTTCCATATCTTCGCCATTTTAAACTCATATTTTAAGATAAATAATAAAAATTTTGACTTAATTGTTTTTATTTCGTTCTTTAAATATCATCCAGAATCATTTCGGAAAGTATCTATTTTTTAAAAAAATTAGGCCTTAACGACTTTTGATATAAAATATAATGGATTGAGCCAAAAATTTGAAATTACCTCTTTTGCCATTTAAATGTACGAAAATTCTTTACTTTTATGGTATAATTTTAATTTTTTATACCCTAAAAACAAAGTATTATGCAAATTATTATGTAAATTAAGTGTTAAAATTTAATTTTTTAAAATTAAATACAATTTAATATATAAACTACACATATTTTTAATTTTTTCCGTAGGCTACTTTTTTTTACTTTTTTTACTTTTCAGGCTACTTTTTGCTACTATTTTTTTACTGACTAATGAGTGCGAAGCCTGCAAATAAGTGAATTTAAAAAAACCGCGGCTTATGGGGTTTTTGGGGTAACACGAGGGGTAACATATTAGAAATTCGAAGTTAATTTTCGCATTAGGCCTAGAGCCCAATGTAAGATTCCTCAGCCTAATATTTTGGTCATATACTTCACACGTTAAAACACATAATTTCATAGGGATTAAGAATTTGATTCTGAAAATTAGAGGATTTTATTTAACAAAAACAACAATTTTTTGGGTTCACAAATGTAGATCGTTTAGTTAGGAACAACTTTTGTCTTGAACATTTTTTATAAAAATTCGTACTTTTCGAGATATTTGCAAGTTTCCATACTTTTTGAGCAAAATACATTCTGCATGCTAGTGCTAGAGACACGCAGCGCCGCACAAACACGTGATAACATGATTTATTTTTTATATAAACAATTAATTTTGCAATAACAATTATTAAAAATCATAAATTTTTAAATTTTCAAATAAAACTGTATCATTTTCTTTGTAAGTATACCAATTTTTATAAAGATCCGTTCACTTAGTTCTAAGATATTTATTTTTTAACTTAAGACTACAAAAAACTTCAATTGTTCTGTTAAATGAAAATTGCATTATTTGAAAATTCGATTTATTAGAAAATCAGCTTTTTCACAGTTCAATTGAATAGAAATTCTACAAAATTAGAATTTTTTAAATAGAAATTTTTCGATATTAAAATTGGGCTCATGATAAAATCTACTTTTTTAAAATTCTACTGAATGTAAATTCGATAATTTTTAATTCTGCACCACAAAAATTGTGGCAAGTCTAATGAAGGGAATATTCACGCGTCCCCAAAATCCCTTGAATATTTGAGGAGCCGGATGCTATAAGGGTATACGCACCACGTTAAGTAAATGTCGCATATCCCCTTCTAGCATCCAGCCCTTCAATTTAAGTTGTAAAGTTAGCCTATGTAAAACAGGATTGAAAGAAAAATTTTCTGATTTGAAAAGAAGTAATAATTTAAGATCCATTGAAATTCTTTATTTACATTTTTTTGCATCAAAAGTATGCTTGTCAAAACTGATATTTAACTACTTAGACTTCCCCGCTTTTCCTCGCCTTTATCACTTAACCCAAATTATCAGGAAAAAAGTTTTCTAAATTTTCGAGAGGAAAAATAACAATTTCTTGTAACATTTTACAGAAATGATGATTCAAATTTTCTGTCACTCGTGTGTGACAAAATTTTTGTATTCTTTGATGTAAAATTATAAACAAAATATCCTAACATAAAAAAGAATGAAAAAATTAATTTAACTTTCCATTAAAATCAAACATGATTTTTCGAGTTTTTATTTCAGTGTAGCTTGAGCTTCATATTAATCGTCTTCTTTTTCATATTTTATTATTTAATTCAAAGTTTTCCCATTATATTCGTCTCCATAAAGTTTATAAACCCTTCCATGAAGTTTCTATCAACTTTATAAAATAATGTTTCCAAATGTTTATTATTTAAAGTGTTCAGAAAAAAGCACACTCAAAAAACTAAATTTCTTATTTTCAATGCAAGCCGAAAATTTTCAATAGCAAAATTATTTCCTATGACATGAACTTTTAAAAGAAACTTTAGATTTTTCCATATCGGTTTTCGATAGCAATATTAAACACTTATGAACAAAAAAAAACATGGTAAGAAGCGAAGATTAGAGGAAGATTAAAAATTTGAAGAAATTGTGTGTAGAATGAGAATTCTTTTGAATGGGCGAATTTACGACTCAAAGATACTTTTTGAACAAGTTGATATTTGAATTAACAGCTGACAACTGTCAAATTGTCAGGACGCATGAATATGTTCTAAAAATCATTAGTTAGAATTTTCATTTCATGAAATTTCATTTGTCATAATTATTTTTGAGCCGAATTTTTATTTGTTCGAATTAGTATTTTGCAAAATTTTCATTAAACCGATTTTCTGTATTACAGAATTTTTATATAATCGAAAATTCACTTCACAGAATTTTTATTTGTTAGAATTTTCATTTAACATAATTGGCATTTTCAAGAATTTTTATTGGATAGAATTTCATTGCATAGAATTTTCTTTCAGATGAATTTTTATTTGTTCCAATTATTATTTGGTATAATTTTCATATAACCGATTTTTTATACTACAGAATTTTTACTTAACCGAAAAATCATTTAACAGAATTTCTAATTGATAGAATTTTCATTTGTTTGAAATTGCAAATGGCCGAACACACAATCGACAGAGAGACGTCGGCGCGATTTTTAAAATCAACCAATCAAAAATTATCCATAAAATTGTGATTCGAATAAATAAAATTCTATGAAGTGAATTTTCGGTTATACCTACAAAAATTCTGTAATATAGAAAATCGGTTCGATGAAAATTTTGCAAAATATTAATTCGTACAAATATAAATTCGGCTCAAAAATAATTATGACAAATGAAAATCCATAAAATAAAAATTCTAACTAATGATTTTTAGAACATATTCATGCGTCTCAAATTGTCAATATGATATCAAATTCGTAATCAGCGATTCTAAAAACCCCTCTACTGTCATTTTCAATCAAAATAATTACTTTTTGATAAAGTTGACAGTTGAATTGACTGTTGTCAACTGTTAAATTGTCCATTTGATATCAAATTCATGATCAGCGATCTCGAAAACCCTTATAAATATGTCATTTATTTTATTTTTTTGCTAGTAGTAAAACGTAAGATATTTTTTGTTTTGGGCGCCATCTTGAATACGCCATTTTAAATTTTTTATTTTTGGAACCAGATTATTTATATTCAGTAGTTCAAAAATCTTCAGTTTCTGTATTTCATAAATTTTTTTTGCCTTTTACCCATTTTCCCATCTTTATGAGAGATATCTGATTTTTATTACGATTTTTATTTACTTTTGGTTATTATTTTATGTCAAAATTTTTTTTTTATTTTCTGTTTGTATTTTTTATTGAAATTTTAATCCTACCTGATGAAAAAAAGCATAACGCCATTAAAAAACATTAATATTTGAAAAAGTTATATTGATTTTTGTAAAGTGACAAATACATGTGCCGCAGACGCTATAAATGATTAAATCTTGTTTACTTGGTCTAGTGACTTTTGTTTTAATTTTTTAAAGAAGTAATTCAAATTTTTGTAAACTATTGAAAATGACACTTTTTTTAACCCTTAAACTGGCACCATTGGTCTAGTAGACCTGAGCATTTTATCGAGCTCAAATTAATTTAATGTGTAGCTTTTGAATAATTTTTATATTTTAATATACCTATTAGTTGCCTATTTTGATACAACACAAAAGATAAATTAGCTTTAAACATTAATAATAATCTTCTCATGATTTTATCACTTAATAAGAAATAAAGTGAAAAAAATTAGTATCCTTACATTTTATTTTTTAAGATGTTTATCATATATCAAAAAGTGGGTGGTCGTACAATTCTGATCGGTAGTGTAAAACGTACCGTGTATTAAATATTTCATCTTTTTTTACTTATTTTACAGTCTCGGAGACAGTTATTAATGAAGAATCTCAAGGTAGTGTACTTAGTACAGCAACTACAGAGTCTGAAAGAGTAAAAGTTAAAAATCGCCGAATGGAAATTAATTTCGATCCTGATGAAGGTTCTTTCACAGTTGACAAAATTGCTGAGTATGAATGGCCCGTTGACAGAAAGGGCGAAACTTTCATGGTTCAAGAACAAATTTCCCAATATTTGGGAGTAAAATCGTTCAAAAGAAAATATCCAGATTTAAAGCGCAGAATAGTCGATATGGAGGAAAGAAATTACTTAAGAGAAAATGGATTAGTTAGTGAAGCAATGTGTGACATGGGTAAATAGAAAATAAAACTTTAATTCAAACTATCCATGGGACTAAGAAATATAGGGACGCAGCAAAAAAAAAAAAAAAAAATGCGGTATCTGATCTTGCATTTATAAGAAAGAGTTTATTGTGTGCATTGAGAATCGGTGATAAAATTTAATTTCCTAGAATTTTTGACAGTGCGCAAATCTGTCATATAACTTTCTTTTTTCCTGATCGACCTGAACTAAGACTATGCTCTGTCCCTATATTTCTTACCTCCATGAAGAATCAACAGATTTAAAAAATTTTAAGTCCTATTCTAATCATTTATTTTCTGTGCATACTTTATTATAATTTTGTTTTTTATAGGGCTTACGGCTTTACCAAGTTCGGAAGTTTTGGACATAATGTGCAGCGATTTTCCTGATCAATATGAAGAGTATCGTAAACATATGCGAGATAAACAAGTTAAAGAACATTCAAAGAAACAAAAGGAGTTAACAGCAGCAGCGAATGCTGAGAGAAATAGAATAGATCTTGCGGAAATGGCAATGCAATCGGCCCTTTCGTGGAATATTAATTTAAATAGAGCTCGTATGGATAATCGAAAATCAAGTTTGGATTTACAAACTTTTACCATTCATTTGCCTAAAAAGGAACAACAAATTGAAGTAGATCGAAGTTCAAGTTACTATCCCGTTTCTCTTATTCCTGGACAGTATACTGATTACTATAGAGAATATACGCCTGCTGAGTTAAGATATTATCCTCTTAATACAGTTTTATATGGACCTATGAAACCTAATGAACACAAATTCGACAGTCAGTCGGAGGGATCTCAAAGTGATAGCGACAGTGACTCTTCGTCTGATGATTCAAGGTATAATTTAAGCAATTGTTATAAGATTAGAGAAAAATATAGTCGAAATATCAATAGTCAATATACTCAAAATTAGAGAAATAACAAAACTGATAAAGTTATTATATTTGTCTTGCTCGGTGATTCTGTGATACTTCCCGTTTTATTTACAGAGCAGAAGGTAGATGTAAGAAAGAGAATATAATATGAGAATTATAATAATTATGTTTATTTTATAATATTAGTAATTAGCTTTCGGAAATTGAATCTACAAATTCATGGCTTTGTCAAGGAGAAACAATGATTATTTTCAAAATATGCCGTGAACGGAGGCATTACAAAATTAATGAAGACACTTTTTTGAAAGGAGGCTAGGTGCGTGAGTGTAACTTACACTTAACCGGTTTTGCCAACCTTCTGTCCAACCATGGCCCAGAGTTTCGCCAACCAAAACTTATAGGTTTTTTTAAACTACGTTTCCCGGAGTTTTGTCAATCTTCGGGCCAACCATGGCTGACAGTTTAGCCAACCTAAGCTTCTAGGTCTTTTAAACTGTTTTTGCTGGAGTTTTGCCAACGGTTAGTCCAACTCTGATTAAGGTTGGCCCAATGGTTGGCTAAACTATGCAGCCCAGAGTTGGCATGCAAAGTTAGGCCAACCTACATTACGCCTACATTACGCTCGTTGTAAAATTTTGAAAAAGTTTTAGTTTTTGAAATAAGTTACGTTCTAAATGAATAGAGAAAAAGATTGAATTTCTGAATGTTTAAACCTATAAAAAGTTAAAGATTATAAATTTGTTATTAAAAGTTAATTAGTAATTATAATTATTTTCTATTGTAATTTTATTGTAATTAAAAATTAGTATCTGATTGTTTAAATTTGTAATTTTTGGTTCCGTTGTATCAAAAAATGCATTTTTGTATTTATTACAGTAAAGAAATTGTATTATAAAGTTTTTTATTTTGTCTCTTTGGTTTCGCTTCAACTTCAACACATGATGTTCGTTTTTTATCTTTTGGAAAATAATCACACTCTGTAGAGACTGAAAAAAAGATTTGATAATGCAGTAAAAATAAAAGGTACTTTGCAATATCATATGCATTTGTATCTACTGATGACAGACGACTTCAGTTAAAAAAATTTGTTGGTATAGAGTAACAAACACTAAAATAACACTAAAGCACTAGCAATGACCTCCAAATGGATAAATGTATCAAGTTTTTGTGATGTTGCCTCTTAATTTTCACATTCATAAATAGTATATCAAATAATATGAGTTTATGAATAAATGGGATTATATTTTTGTCTTAAAATTAAAAGTATTAAAGCAGAAATTGTTTTTTTCAGTTCATCATCTAGCGATGGAACTCAAGGAACAGAAGCGTCTCAGTCGACAATGGATGATGTTGATATGGAATTGGTGTTACAGAAGACTGATGGAAAATCGGTCAAATTAATTTGTTAATAATTAATTTATTGGATTACTTTGTAGAAAAAAGAATTTAATATCATCGATAAGTTTTTAATTATCTTTTTTAATGTAAAAATACATATGTTTAATGTAATAAAATATTTGTCCTTTTCGAATTAAATTTTTTAATAATGTATTTGGTTCTATTTTTCTATTTGTTTTTTTTAAAGAGACTAAATGAAAATTAAATAAAAATTAGCAACGACACCAATAATTTTTTAGTTTTTTAGCTTTTGTTATTAACTTTTCAAAATTCTTCTACTTGTTTAAACAATTGATTATATTATTATATTTTTAAGATTTTAATATAAATAATTAATCTGACGATATAGCTTTTATTATTTAAATAATTGTTTTTATCTAACCAAAATTACGGGATAGTTTCTCCTAATTCTTTTTAAATTTTCTATTATAAATTAATTAAACTTAAATGATTAATCATAATTTAACAATAAATTTTTAAATTATGAGTCTTTTCATTAAACCTTAATAGATTAATCTCTGAAAACCCTACTAGATAATTAATTTGAATAAATTAATTATATCCTGAATTAACTAAATTTTCAGGTTTGTTGGGATCATCTCTTTTTTTTAATCTTTCAAATTGTCATGTGGATCGCCTATTGCAATGCACATGGCTCATAATAATATTAATCTAGAATTACGATTTTGTCTTTGTTACCACTCTTGAAAAATTAATCATGTTGGTAGAAATCGTCAAATAGCTCCTAACAATTGGTTTCTTCAAGTGAAATAATTTTTAAATAATTTTGTTACGATTGGATCTTTTTTATCTCTTTTATTTCGGAAAACTGATCGTGTTATATATTGTTATATATATTCAATATATAAAAGAAAGCTCTTACCAGTGCGATACTGTTCAGAATTAAGAGACAGAAATGTGCATTTTTTCGGCTTACAAAGACTCGTCCCTACCTTTATTTTCTAGGGGCTTGTATAATTAAAAATTTCGAGTGTGTAAAAAAACTTTAAATTGATTGAGCGAGGATAAGCGATTTTCCCTCACTACTTTTCGCGGGGCGCTTTTCTAATGTATTTCTTACCGCCAATTTTCGTAGCCAATTATATTTAAATTATTATACTAAGAACAGAGCGATTTTTCTCATACTATTTTCGTTTCTAACGCTGGCCGAGAATAATGCCATTGTCTAGCTGTCAATCATTTTCCTTTAACTGAATTTTATTTCTCGAAAAATAATAATTTTATAATTATTTAACTTTTACCATTAATTTTTAAATAATTTTTACTTAAATAAAAAAATAAAATTTTGTTATATTATTTTTAATTTATAAATATTTAAAAAATGTAAAATTATAATTTATTACTTTTTACGGGCAAATATTATTTGCAAAATTATTACTCTGGCGTTAAGAAACCATGGTTTAGTCATAAATCTTTAACTAGAAGATTATATATACCTCAACGTATTGTTTTGTTTAAGAAACTTTTTAACAAGAACATTTTTTTGCCTCTGTGTATGGAAATGTTTTTGGTAGGACCAAATATTGCTGTCTGCAAGCTCATTGTCAAATTTCTTGATAATTATAATTTAAAGATATAAATTTTATGTATGCTTATAAACCTTTTTAAGTTTTTTAAATGCTTTAATAAAAAAAAAATATTTTTTTGCAACACGAACCTCTAAAGTTAAATGTTACACACCGAAAATTGTGTGTAAAGAAGCTCTTTTTCAAACGGTGTGTAAAGTGATTCACTTTACGCACCGAAATTTCTCTCACATAATATAAGGATTGTTTTAGACCATACAAAACCACAAAATTAAAAAACGAACTTTACTATTAAATTTATACACTCCTGCTTAATGATATTTTTCCTGATCTTCGATTGATTTTTTTAATTCTATACAATCGAAATTATTCCAATAGAGAGTTGGAATTCTTCATAATAGGTACTTAACTTTAGAGGTGGGTGTTGCAAAAAATGTTGTATGATACACGTGCGTAAATCTGATTATACTCGTGTGATTTGCTGCAAACGTCACACTCGTATAATCACTCACTTTACGCACTTGTATCATAAATAACTACTTTATTCTTCTATAAAATCTTTAAATTTATATTTAATTAATTTTTCTTTTTATTTAAATTTATATCTTCCTTCTCTTTCTATTATTTCAGAAATTATATTTCTCTAAATTTAAACTCAATTCTTAATAGTATTTTATTTTTAATATTTATTAATGTATAATTTTCCAAATAATTTATAAAAATTTTATAATTTAATTTTTGACTATAGAAATATTATTTCAATAACGGATTTGAATAAAAAGTAGGAAAACTTTTTAATATATCATTTATTACAATTTTAAATTTCTATATATAAATACACAATTAAAAATATATTATTCTATTTATTTTTGTTTGATTTATTAATCATATTTCGTAAATGTTTATTTGCATTTAAAGGCCAGTGAGCCACTCTAGTCACTTTACGATTATAGAAATGTAAAATAATCACATTTTACAAATTTCTAATAATGTAATCATACATTTCTTATTTTTAACTTTTTTTTAAATTCTGTCTTGCAAATTCTGGAAAAAACTGAGAATTATACTTTTGTCGGATATCTGATTTTTGAGACTCAACTGGCTTAGAATTGCCTTGTAGTTTTGCTAATAACATTTCAGTTTTAAGCTTTTCTTTTTGTTCTCGCAATAACCTTTTAGTTCTCAATTGTTCCAGTGTATCTTTTTGATTACTATCTTTTTTTTTCTTAGAGTACGCAATTTTCGATTCTAATTTTTTTTTTTTATTTAAAGCTAAATTATTATCATTGCTTTTATTAGCTTTATCTAATAATTTTATGTATTTATTCATACTGTGAATAGGATCTTGAAAAGATTTTTTCCGCTTATCTTTTTCACTTTCTTTGACTTGTGATTCGCTGTCACGATCTTTATTATACCAACTAGTTTCTCCTTTTAGTTCAAGAGTATCTTGGCCAAGATACGTTAAATATCCAATTTTCTTTTCATACTGTTCTTTTTCATCTTTTTTTTCTTTTTCATTATGTACATTACTTTTTTTATAATCAACTTTGTCTTCTTCCAACTCAGAGAAAAAATTAATGTGCTTTTCAGTTTTAACAGGAGTGCAGTTGCTGTTGACTTTATCATCATACTTTTTTCTTGCTTCCTGACGCAAAAATTCGATTTGCGCTTCTCTTTCCTGGAATAATATTATTTATAAATAATTATAATATATAATATAATATAATAATAATATAATATTATTATTATTACAAAAATTAAATTTTAAAGCTAAAAATTTAGTAAAAAGTTTTTTTATTTTTTTCAAAATTGAAAAATTGTTTTATTAATTATGCCATAAAAATATCTAGTGAAGAAAAAAATTGTTTTACAATTTTACATTATTGTAAAAATTATTAAAACTGATACTTAGAAAAATGAATAGTATCGAGAACGTTTACGAGTTACTTTTCGGGGAAAATAGGGGACATAGAGGCAAAACTGGATAGTTAACGTTTGAAACTCAATAAAACTAACATTAATATATCTATATTTTATTATTTATTACAATAATCATCTTTGGCAATCAGCCTTCCATGGCACAATCTTATTAGGAACATTTATTACATAATAAAATATAAAATTAACAAAACGTAGAAAAGTAAAATATGACCATCTTGCCTCCCCTGGGGGCAAAATCGGATACCCTAAGAAGCAAGCTGGGGTTTAAAAAAAAATCATCATATTATTGCTTGCAATCTTCGAAAGTGAAGGTTGCATCTTCACCTTTTTTTCCAAAATGATTTGAGGGACAGAAAATATTTTTGCTACTAAGTTGAAACCCATTTTTCGCCCACCGCATTTTTCATGCTCTCTTCTGACCAATTTTCTCTACTTGTCTTTATTTTATAATTTTTTTACCCTTCTACAAGAAAAATGAAACATTTATATAAAACTAATTAACTCTTGTACTTACAATAATATGTTTTTAATTATATGATAAAATAAACTCCATATCCCATTTTGCCCCCTCATGCGAAATGACATAAAAATGTTAATCAATAAAAAGTATGATTCAACAAACAATTAATCAAATGTTTACCTGCTAGAGTAGTCAGTGATACTTATGAAAAACAAAAAATGTTATATTAAATGCTGTTATTTACAAAATAAACACATTCTGAACAAAATGGATAAGTTAGAAGAAAATCACCGAAAACAGTTTTTTCATGAAACAACGTGGTAAGAAGAAAAAACGTGGTATAATCGTTCAATGTTTTTACCACCTGAAAACTGTCATATTGGTTCCACATTATGTGCAATACAACCATTATTGCTCCATTAATGTGTAAATAAAGTCAACTATCCCGTTTTGCCCCCAATTCCCCTATCGGTAACGCGTAAGTAATTTTTTAACAGCGGTATAAACATTGGATATAAAAAGGGATGCAATTAAAAGGGGCGGTACGAATTCAACACAAATAAACTCTACACAAAAAAATACTGCACCGCTAACTGTACACGAGTCAATTCTCAACAAAATTAAATAAAAATATATTCTTCACAATTAAATACTACATCCAAAAACCCTACACAATAAACTATTTACTAGAAAATTATCTTCATAAACTTTACACAAATAAACTCAACACATTAAGATTTAGAATTAGAAAAATAAAAAAAAATTTTTTATAATTCTACACAAATAAATACTACATCAGTAAATATTACACAGCTATAAAAAATAAAAAATTAAATTCGACACAATTAAATTTTACACATGAAAATAATCTTTCCTTTTGTGTCGAATTTAATTTATTATTTTTTATAGCTGTGTAGAATTTACGAATGTAATATTTATTTGTGTAGAATTATAAAAAAAATATTTTTATTTTTCTAATTCTAAATCTTAATGTGTTGAGTTTATTTGTGTACAGTTTATGGAGATAATTTTCTAGATAATAGTTTATTGTGTAGGCTTTTTCGATATAGTATTGAATTGTGAAGAATATATTTTTATTTAATTTTGTTGAGAATTGACTCGTGTACAGTTAGCGGTGCAGTATTTTTTGTGTAGAGTTTATTTGTGTTGAATTCGTACCGCCCCCAATTAAAAGATAATATATTCTTACAGCCTTTTGGATTCGTAATTTCTTTTCAGTTTCTTCTTGTGCAGCTTTCGCTTCATCCTTTCTAACTCTTGCTATATTTTCTTTAGTGCGTACATGCCATCTGAAATATTTATCAAACGTTAATTAAATTAATTATAATTAAAAATTTATTTCAATGTAATTTATGTTTAATTATAAAGTTTTTTCAAAAATAATGACATCTTCACTTTTTTTTGGCGATACAGGTAGAGTTAATTTAATCAATTTTCATAAAATAGTGCAACATTTGAACAAAATTTTTTCAAATTTTCATTGCAAAAAATTGAGGATTCAGTGAGTATATGAAGGGTAGAATGACAAAAGGGGTCAAGCGCCAATTCACTGTTTTTACAGGAAGTAAAAAAAACATTTTTAAAAATTTTGCAGGTCATTTAAAAAAAACTGAGAAAACCGTTTCGATATATTAGTATGTTTTAATAAATAAACAACAATTTGTTGAAATAAACCTACATATTAACGATAAAATTAAAAAAAAACTGTGGTTATAAAAAAATATACAGTTTAAAGAAAAACTGGAAAATTAGTTTCTTTCTATGGAATCGACGAAAAGAATAGAAAAAAAAATTCCTTTAACCCCTTCACTGTTACTGACCTCTATAGAGGCAAAAATAAGTCGTGCCACCAGTGTGCATGACCGCTATAGCAGCATCTTAAAAATAAAATAGTTTTACTTAATATAATATTAATGTTAATAAAAACATACAATATGGTAATATAAGATTTAAAAAAAAAAATTTTTTTTTGCACACTGGTGGCACGGAAACACGATTTTTGCTTCACAGCGAAGGGGTTAAAAAATTGTTTGTTTTCAAGAAAATTAAGAATTAATTGCTTGCTTTGGAATTGAGCAATACTTTCATCTTTAAATTCAATTGTTCACTTAGTATAACCATAAAAATATGAAAGAATTAAAACATTAAAAGACCAGATATTTTAATGCCCATGGGTTCTAGGGGGTATTGGGTATCGCTCTTTCAGATTTTGAGGTCAAAATAGAGATTGGTCGACCAGAAAATCCAATATGGCGAATAAAATAAAAAAAAAAACCCAAAAAATCATTGTTTTTTTTTTAAAACATTTTTTTTGAAGCCGAAAACATTTTTTCTAAGACATCTAACCTATCCTATTGGTGGATAAAATAGTTGTACTTTTAAACTATGTTCATGAGAACCTTCAATTTCAAGATGGAGGACTCAAAATGGCGGAAAAGTAAATGCAATTTAGTAGATATGAACAGAATATTGAACTAACAGTTAAAAAGTCATTAATTCTGCCTCAAAATGGTTACTCGGGGGTTTTCGGGGTCGCTGATTACAAATCTGAACAGGGAGTAGTATAAGGAGACCGAACGCCATGCGCGGAAAGTGGCCGCACTTTTGGTGATCGTAATTCTCATGGGCACACTTCTGTCGATATCAGCGCTCTTAGTGTAGAAAAGTGGCACTATTTGTCGTCTGCTACTGTGATTATTCAGTGCACATGTTGTTTTTATTAGACATTACACTTCACAAAATATTTTATTTTAAGCGTGTTAAAATTTTATCACAATTCAGTCGTAATTTATTTACTAAACGATAAACCGCACACGATAAACAAACTAAAAAAGCAGAGGTTATATCATGCTTTCTTGTTTACAACGATAGTGTCAGCCTCTCCGAGTGAGGCGCTGCTATCGACAGAAGTGTGCCCATGGGAATTACGATCACCAAAAGTGCGGCCACTTTTGACGCGGATTCATAATGGCCGTTCGGTCTCCTTATACTACTCCCTGAATCTGAAGTAAGTTTTTCAAAATTCAAAATGGCGGATTATTTTTTAAAAATTCATTGAATTTGCTTGAAACTTATTACTCGGGGGTTTTCGAGGTCGCTGATTACGAATCTGAAGTCAGTTTTTCAACATTCAAAATGGCGGATCCAATATAGCAGACAAATATTTAAAATCACTGGAAACTACTTACTTGGTAACTTTGTAGGTCGCTGATAACGATTCCGACGTCAGTTTTTCACATTTAAAATGTGCGAATTTAATCTATTAAACGAATTTATAAAAAAGTGTTCGATTTTTATTAAATTTTAAATCCAGAAGTTTTTGAATTATTGAAAACTAATCTAAAGTCAAATTTTTTAAATTCCACAATTTTTAAGATATTTCTTTAAAATAGTCAAATTCTGAAAGTCTGGCTTGTAACTCGTAATCTGGTAATTCTAAAAAGAAAAAATATGGAATGAAAAATTTTTTGCACGTATAATTTTGATAAACAGGTTAATTTAAATTAATAAGTTTTTCAAAAGTCGTCCGCCATTTTGAATTTTGAAAAACTGACGTCGGATTCGTAATCAGCGACCCCAAAAACCCCCGCGTAATTATTTTCAGACAAATATATGAAGTTTTTTCAAAAGTCGTCCGCCATATTGGATCCGCCATTTTGAATTTTGAAAAACTGACTTCAGATTCGTAATCAGCGACCTCGAAAACCCCCGAGTAATAAGTTTCAAGCAAATTCAATGAATTTTTAAAAAATAATCCGCCATATTGGATCCGACATTTTGAATTTTGAAAAACTTACTTCAGATTTGTAATCAGCGACCCCGAAAACCCCCGAGTAACCATTTTGAGGCAGAATTAATGACTTTTTAACTGTTAGTTCAATATTCTGTTCATATCTACTAAATTGCATTTACTTTTCCGCCATTTTGAGTCCTCCATCTTGAAATTGAAGGTTCTCATGAACATAGTTTAAAAGTACAACTATTTTATCCACCAATAGGATAGGTTAGATGTCTTAGAAAAAATGTTTTCGGCTTCAAAAAAAATGTTTTAAAAAAAAAAACAATGATTTTTTGGTTTTTTTTTTTATTTTATTCGCCATATTGGATTTTCTGGTCGACCAATCTCTATTTTGACCTCAAAATCTGAAAGAGCGATACCCAATACCCCCTAGAACCCATGGGCATTAAAATATCTGGTCTTTTAATGTTTTAATTCTGTCATTGAAGTTAAGTTAAAAATTATGGACATTTGGGCGTTAATGGGTTAATTAAAATATTATTAAAATAAAATTAAAATAAAATATTAAAATAAAACCTAAAAAAATAATATTTTTTTTTATTTTGATAATATTATTGACTCACCACTTTCTTTTGTTTTTCAATCAGGTTGCAATAAAGTAAATTTGAGGCTATTTTATTAATTTAATTTTTATGAAAAACTGATTTAAATACGCAATAAAAAAGGAAATCCTTCTACAGAAATGTGTAAATGAATTTTCTTGATTTTTTTATGCAAAAACGTCATGTTCGATAAATTGGCGCTTGACCCCTTTTGTCATTCTACCCTTCATATATGAATCTCCTCAGGCACCACCAAATAATTTGTTTTGTGGTGCACGCTGTAACTCGAAACAGAATCATGTAAAACAAAAAAATCAAAATGAATTTGTTAATGGTGTTTCTCAAGGTAATCCTGGGGGGATTTTTTTATTTTTAAATTTTTCGTAGCACTTGGAAGACAAAAAACCGATTACCTCTATAAAAAAATTAGCTAATTTATTATTGTATAATTTGTAATTTTTTTTAAATCTCCCAGGAATACCTGATGAATTATGTGAAGAAGTACTGTACCAAATTTCAGAACGTTTGGTCCAGTAGATTTTAAGTTATGGCGTACCTACACGGACTTCAAAATAACAAATTTCAGAAAAAGCTTTAAAGACGAGATGTATAAAAATTTTACTTGAAGTTTGTCATTATTTTTAAAAATTAAAAAGTAATTTAAAAAATTTGGCAATAGACATTTCTTATGGCTCAGGAATAACTTTTTCAAATGATTTTTAAAGAAGGTTAAAAAATTTTTCTGACAATAATTAAGTTTAACAGATTTTTAAAATAAATTTTTAAAAAATAATTGAATTACAGAAGATTTTAAATTTGCAATAAATTTTCTGCAAATTTGAACTGCTGTAATTTTTTGTTTTTAAATTTCTGATAACAATTCAATTTTAGAGTTTTTAATTAAATCTTTTTTAAATAATTGAATTTTTAAAGAAATATTGAAATCATTAAAAATAATTGAATTTTTGAAGAGTTACAGTTGAAATTTTTAAAAATAATTGAATTTCAAAAGATTTTGTTAAATTTTAGAAAATTATTAAATTTTACAGAATTAAAATAATTTATCAAAGAATTATATAATAATAAAATGCTTGGCCTGTCCTTTTGTCCTAACTTGAAGTTGGCCTTTTCTGATTTCACGTGTTTTTTTGAATAGTAATCTTATGACGTGTCAAATTTTGACAATTCTTTTTCTCATTTTTGCCAAAGTTGTATAATTGTGTTTCCAAATTTCGGAATAAGTTTCTTTAAAATTCCAAATTCGAAAATTCAATTCACGAAGCTGAAGTACACAACGTTTACTAACGAAATTTTTTTTAAAGTTGTATATTGATTCAAAAATTGTATACAAATACAAAAAATTTATGATGAGAAAAAAGATGCACCAAGAAATTTCGTACAAGATAGTAATTTGAAAAAATTAATTTTTAAAATTAATTTTTAAGGTACCAGGCGCCAACAAATACCTATTAAATATTAATTATAAAAACACAGGCCTCGAATCAACTTAAAGACACATAAAAGTCGTTTTAGTCGATTTATATTCAAAAAAAAGTGGATTTGTTTTTTATTTTAACAAAAATATTTTACAGATTTTTAAATAAAAATTTTTCTTTTTAATAATAATCCTTTTCGAAGGGTTAAAGTTGAAATTTTTAGAAATAATTAAATTTCAAAAGATATTGTTAATTTTTAATCAATTATTAAATGTTACAGAAATAAAAATAATTTATCAAACAATTTTTGGAAAACATTTTTTTAAATTTAATTGAATTTTCAAAGATTTAAAATTGAGATTTTGGAAATTAATTGAAACTTTAAGTGTTTTGTAATTAAAATTTTAGATGATTTCACTAAAAATTTATTAGAAAATGCGGACAAAATATAATAATTTGAAAATCATTTTTAATTGAAAAATGGTTTCAGATAGTTGAAATTTCAAAGAATATTATTAAAATAGTTAAAAATAATTGAATTGAGTTATAATTGAAATTATTAAATTTCAAAAAAAAAATTTTCGATGGAAAATTTTAGAAATAATTAAACTTTAGATGCTTTTAAATTAAAATTATTGAAAATTCAATTAATTTTGAATTCAAATTTTTGAGAATAATGAAATTTTATTTGATTTTAAATTTGGAAAATAATTGAATTTCAGTTCATTTTGAATTGAAAATTTTGGGAAATAATTGAATTTTAATTGAAATTTTGGATAACAATTTAATTTAAGTTCATTTTTGATTGAAAATTTGGATAATTAATTTTGAATATAAATTTTGGAAAATAATTGAATTTTATTTCATTTTAAATTGAAAACTTGGTAAATAATTAAACTTTAAATTGAAAATTTTGGATAATTATTGGATTTTGAATTAAAATTTCGGGTAATAATTGAATTTTAGTTTATTTTAGATTAAAATTTTTAAATAATAATGCAATTTTATTGTGATATATTTTTTTAAAATTATAAACAATTGTTAAATTTCATAAAAATTTTAATTGAAAAATTATTTTGATATAATTGAATTTGTGATGTATTTCATTAAAATTATTAAAAAAAATTAATTTAGTGAAGAATCATTTTAGTTTAAAATTTGTTAAATAATTGAATTGAAGAAGATCTGAAGAAGATATAAATTTTATACTAAAAAAATGTATTTTATTTAGTTTTTTTCAAATGTAAAAAAAAATGTCGCATTTTATTAAAATAAGTCGATAAAAGCCGTTTTTTTGAAAAAAGTCGGAAAAAGTCGTATAATCCGATGCCTGTAAACATATAATTTTCATTATTATCATTTAATATGTAATAATATTCTAATAAATTAAATTATTATTGATAATAATAATCTTTAATTTCTTTATAACAAACAATGAAATACTCAATTTGGCGCGCGTTTAATTTTGCTAGTTATTGAGGTATTGTCTTCGGAGACATCTCAAAATACTAGTAAGAATATAGACTTTGAAATTAAGCAAGAAAAGACGGATTGAGGTGTTTGACAGTTACTAGTATTTGTGAAGATTGTTCTTACTCCGTGGCTGCTAAAAAGTTTACCAATGCCACAAATGTGGCCGTTGGCACTGTTCTGAGGGTGGTCTACACATTTGTTTATAAATGCCCAAATTTATGGGTTATAAAATTTAAAAATCTTGATTTTCCGAAATTTTTTTAAAAAGTAGTCATTTATTTTTAATAAAAAATATAACAATATATGGTTGTTTATTATATGGGTTTTAGGACTCTAAAGTTTTTTTTATAAAGGTTAAAAATGCATTACTTATTTAATCAAAATTAAGGGAAATTATTTGAAATTAGAGAACTGAAGGAATTATTTAATTCTCTTTTAATAATTTTACAACCATACAAAACTTTTACAATTAAATTCATTGCTGACAAATATAAAAACGTTCAATAACTACCTTCAAAAAAGTATAATTTATTGCCTTACCGTTTTTTGGGTAAAATATTCATTTTAAATAATTTTATTTATTCCTTTCTTTCAATTAATTTCCCTTTGTTTCTTCTTTTAAACATAAGATAACTTCTTAAATGACTTGAGATAAACTGTCAGAATATTGGTTTGTTGGTTTTATTTATTGGCCTGTTGCACCCTAAGGTCAAGTAGCCATAACTGTCAGAATATAAAGGCCAACGCACAATATATTCGGGAAAGTCGTTCGCGAAACAGATGCATGAAATAGAAAAGGATACGAATATATCTCTGTCCTTTTCTAACTCATATGTCACGTTTGCGAACGTCTTTCGCGAAGCTATTGTGCGTTGGCCTTATGAAGGCCTTTCTCCAATAGGAACCTAAACTTTTGCGTTGCGTGACTGACGCGTTGATTTTAGCATTGGTTGCCAATAGCAACCGACGCAATGCATACGCAACGTAAAAGTTTAGGTTTCTATTGGAGAAAGGCCTTGATAATGATTTCTGCACGCCGGCGTTTCGTAATGGAACGGCGCCTTTAAGGCTGGTTCCACAATTGGCTCGACGCAAGGTAAGCGCTGCGTTTACCTTGCGTCGAACCCATTGTGGAACTAGCCTAAAGTCCTTTCTCCAATAGGATCCTAAACTCTTGCGTTGCGTATGCATTGCGTCGGTTGCTATTGGCAACCAATGCTAAAATCAACGCGTCAGTCACGCAACGCAAAAGTTTAAGGTGCTTTTATACCTCAAATTTCGATCGGATGAACATTCTTTCTGGACCGTGAAAATGCGTGAAAAGTCATTTTCACGGCGGGTATTTTTGAATTGTTTTAAACAAAAAATGTTTTTTAAGAAATATAATATTAAATAATTGTTTTAATATGTAAGAACACTTTAAAATAGTGATAGAAGATGATTTGATTGAAAAATTTAGCAAATTTTGCTTTAAAACGTTTCTGCTACAAGAAAGTGTAAAATGACGATGTTTGTGAAATGGTTTGTACAGTGTACATGTGTACATGTTTCTTTCAGTTATTCGAAACAATTAGTTGAATTTAAATTTATTTGATAAACATTTCAACTTACCGATTTATTTTCAGCACTCATTATTTATTACAAGTTAAAAAGAACCGACATAACATAAACAAAACTCTGAGAGACACTTACAAGGAAGAAGCACTGTACAAACCATTTCACAAACATCGTCATTTTACACTTTCTTGTAGCAGAAACGTTTTAAAGCAAAATTTGCTAAATTTTTCAATCAAATCATCTTTCTATCACTATTTTAAAGTGTTCTTACATATTAAAACAATTATTTAATATTATATTTCTTAAAAAACATTTTTTGTTTAAAACAATTCAAAAATACCCGCCGTGAAAATGACTTTTCACGCATTTTCACGGTCCAGAAAGAATGTTCATCCGATCGAAATTTGAAGGAGCTTCTACAATAGCTCCGTTTGGCAATTCCAACTCCAAGTCGGTTGGAGTTGGTTGCGCACGCATGATGTTCTATAATATTAAAATAAGCAAAAAATATTGTAAGGTTATGTTCATGACAATACCTTTTTAATATATTGTGAAATCAAAATGATGAAAAACTTTTATTATAATGTCAATAAACAACATAAAAAAAAATTTGTATTGACAGTTCATCTTATTAATTGTATATTTTTTTATTACTATATTTATATATTACAAATATTAAATTCATTGCATGTGTGTATTATTCAGGGAAAAAAATTTTGTTATTTATAAAAGAAAAATTTAATTTAATTTATATTTTTCTTCTCTTTAAAAAATGATGAGACGGCGGAAACATCAAAAGCAACAACAACAAATAATTTATTAAACTTTACAGCGTGTTTACAGCTTCAAAGGTACATAACCTCAACTATTTCGTGAGCACGAGATCACGCACAATTTTTTTTTTCATTTTCAACTCGGCGACAGTTGGCAACACCATGCGTGCGCAACCAACTCCAACCGACTTGGACTTGGAATTGCCAAACGGAGCTATTGTAGAAGCTCCTTGAGGTATAAAAGCACCTTTAGGTTCCTATTGGAGAAAGGCCTTTCTGGAAAGGACCTTAAGGCGCTTGAACACCTCACAAATTCTGAGTATCCTCGGAATTTGTCAGAAGTTTCACTAACTTTGATTGGCTTTGCTCAGAGGGAATTTCGAAATTTTCCTATCTTTTGGAAATTCTCCATAAGCAAGGCCAATCAAAATTAGTATAACTGTTGACAAATTCCGAGTATACTTAGAATTTGTGAGGTGTACAAGCGCCTTTAGCATTGGGATGCGTCGCGTTAACGCTGCGTTTACCTTGCGTCGAGCCCATTGTGGAACCAACCATAAGTTAGAGAAGGACAAACAATCTATCTATCCTTCTCTAACTCATTGTTCCGGTTGCGTTTGCGATTACGATTCCGGTTACGTTTCTATTCTGCTCAGGCCTTAAGGCGCTTGTATACCTCACCCATCCCGAGTATACTTGCGTCGTGTATCATTGGAGTAAAAGAGACGGAAATATCTTTTTGTCTCTTTTACTCCAATGGTACACGACAGAAGTATACTCGGGATCGGTGAGGTATACAAGCGCCTTTACTACAATACATTCCAAAAGTTTACTGTTAACTGTGTTATGTCATGTTCACGTATACGGTTAAATATTTTCTAACGGACCTATACCGACAAAGAGGGGGATACAAAAATCAGACCTCTCTCTCGGTTCGCGACTTTCAATGGCAGACAGCATTCCAATATATAGTTGAGTGCTGACAGTATACTGACAATAAAAAATTACCCAATCAGAATAAACATGCTGATGGATCAGCTAATCACAACATATTAACAGTATACTCACAGCAACTCCCGAAAACACCTAATGTATAATCGCGCATAGACAAAAAAACTGCTCCCACTGCTATATAGATTGTAGATCTGTTTATATGAATGTTAATATTTATTTAAAGTTTTTGTGATGGCTAATAAAAGTAATGTCAATGTCCTTTTACCAAACGGACATCGACAAACCATAAAGGTTTCACCAAATACTACAATTTTGCAGGTAAAATTATTATTAAAATTTTTAATCATATGGTTCACACTAATTTGCTTATAAAAGTGTCTACTCATTTGTTTATTGCCTCGAGTACATTAAAAACATTTCAGCGTAGTAAATGTTTTGTATATATATTTGGTTGATTTATTTTGGCTAGTGCCTAATTGATAAACATAAAAGGTTTTACATACTTATATACAACTACAAAGTACTTTAATCATAAAATGATAATTTTATTCCCTATTATGTACGGTAATTTTCTTTCTTTTTTTTTTACAAAATTTTGAACCAAAATGCGTCTTTTTTTAGTATGTAATGCTTCAGATCTTTATTTCCATTATTTAATAAATTTTTAACTAGAATTCTTCACTAAATTATTATATTTTCAATAATTTTAATGAAATACTTCACTTCAATTATCTTAAACTATTTTTCAATTAAAAATTGTATGAATTTCAATAATTGCTTAAAATTTAAAAAACGAACTGTCTATTTCGCCCGTCAACTGGTGAAATAAGAAGAATAGTTTAGTTCGCCCGTCAGAGAAAAAATATGATTGATAAAGACTGGCGAAATAAAGAAAACTAAATTATTTCGCCCGTCATAAAAATAATACACAATATGAATAAAGCGGGCGAATTAACGGAACTTTATTATTTCGCCCGTCGAATTAAAAATGCGCCATTTAAGACAAATCAAGTGAGATAAATATTGGCAAGTATTTTTTGTTCTAATATAAATTATATCCTTATTTATTCTTGGGATTTTTTTAGTAAAAGCGAGGATTCATATAACCTCAAATGTATAACAATTTTCCAAAAATGTATATACATACGTCGTCTGCTAACATCACAGTCTAGACGTATAAGAGGGAAATTTAAAATCAATTAATAATTTCATAATTAAATTTTTTCAAATTGAACTATAAATAATGATTTTGTGTACAGTTTGGAATATTTCTATTGTTTTAAATGAAGGAGAATCCTATTTAAATTTTACATTCATTATTTATAATCTTCACATGAAGTTTTTTGAAAAATTTTACTGATGAAGGGTTTACTGGTTTACTGATTTTCTCTAAGTGGAGGCTTATCTGAGTGCCACAATCAATATTGATTTTATATTTTTTAAAATTATGCTATAAAATTAAAAAAAAATGGGACATTTAACCTTTTTAATATTTTCCTTTAAAAAAGTTTAATTACTATTGATTACAATATTTGAAATAACTGAAAAGTGGTACTTATCAATGAAATATTTTTTTAATTTTGTTTTTGCAAAATTATAGAATATGAATAAAAATGCAAAGTTTATTTATTTTTCTTTATTTATATTTTTACATTCTAAGCAAAACCAGTTTGCAGTCTTTGGCGATTTCTTTAAATTTGCACACTCTTGGTGAAACCACTCTAAGAAGAAATCACATCAGATCAAGAAGACTAGAACCAGGAGGTGAAACTTCCACGCTTTACCGCAGTGAGTAGTGGCATGGTAAGCGTGCACACGGTGGGCGTGTCGTTTAAGTTCGTGCACTGCTAATAGAACGAATTTACGAATTCTGCGCATACTATCCATGTAGGTTTTGAAGGGGAAATTTCGTAGCAAGCAGCTGCAAATGTTTGCGTCTGCTTGGTTAGGTAAATTATATAATAATAAAATGCTTGGTCTGTCCTTCTGTCCCAACTTGAAGTTGGCCTTTTCTGATTTCACGTGTTTTTTTGAATAGTAATCTTATGACGTGTCAAATTTTGACAATTCTTTTTCTTATTTTTGCCAAAGTTGTATAATTGTGTTTCCAAATTTCGGAATAAGTTTCTTTAAAATTCCAAATTCGAAAATTCAATTCACGAAGCTGAAGTACACAACGTTTACCAACGAAATTCTTTTTAAAGTTGTATATTGATTCAAAAATTGTACAAAAAATGTATGATGAGAAAAAAGATGCGCCAGGAAATTTCGTATAAGATAGTAATTTGAAAAACATTTATTTTTAAAAATTAATTTTTAAGGTACCAGGTGCCAACGAATACCTATTAAATATTAATTATAAAAACACAGGCCTCGAATCAACTTAAAGACACAAAAAAGTCGTTTTAGTCGATTTATATTCCAAAAAAAAGTGGATTTGTTTTTTATTTTAACAAAAATATTTTACAGATTTTTAAATAAAATTTTTTTTTTTTTTAATAATAATCCTTTTCGAAGGGTTAAAATTGAAATTTTTAGAAATAATTAAATTTCAAAGATATTGTTAATTTTCAAACAATTATTAAATTTTCCAGAACTGAAAATAATTTATCAAACAATTTTTGGAAAACATTTTTTAAATTTAATTGAATTTTCAAAGATTTAAAATTGAGATTTTTGAAATTAATTGAAACTTTAAGTGTTTTGTAATTAAAATTTTAGATGATTTCACTAAAAATTTATTAGAAAATGCGGACAAAATACAATAATTTGAAAAATGGTTTCAGATAGTTGAATTTTCAAAGAATATTATTAAAATAGTTAAAAATAATTGAATTTCCTTAGAGTTATAATTGAAATTATTAAATTTCAAAAAAAAAAAATTTCGATGTAAAATTTTAGAAATAATTAAATTTTAGATGCTTTTAAATTCAAATTATTGAAAATTCAATTAATTTTGAATTCCAATTTTTGAGAATAATGAAATTATATTTGATTTTAAATTGAAAATTTTTGGGAAATAATTGAATTTTAATTGAAATTTTGGATAATAATTTAATTGAAGTTCATTTTTGATTGAAAATTTGGATAATTAATTTTGAATAGAAATTTTAGAAAATAATTGAACTTTATTTCATTTTAAATTTAAAACTTGGTAAATAATTAAATTTTAATTGAAATTTTGGATAATAATTTAATTTAAGTTCATTTTTGATTGAAAATTTGGTTAATTAATTTTGAATAGAAATTTTAGAAAATAATTGAATTTTATTTCATTTTAAATTGAAAACTTGGTAAATAATTCAATTTTAAATTGAAAATTTTGGATAATTATTGGATTTTTAATTGATTTTGAATTAAAATTTTGGGTAATAATTGAATTTTAGTTTATTTTGAATTGAAATTTTTAAAAAATAATTAAATTTTATTGTGATATTTTTTTTAAAAAATTATAAACAATTGTTAAATTTCATAAAAATTTTAATTGAAAAATAATTTTGATATAATTGAATTTGTGATGTATTTCATTAAAATTATTAAAAATAATTAATGTAGTGAAGAATCATTTTAGTTTAAAATTTGTTAAATAATTTAATTGAAGAAGATATGATGAAGATCTACATTTTATACTAGAAAAATGTATTTTATTTACATTTTTTTCAAATGTTAAAAAAAATGTCGCATTTTATTAAAAGAAGTCGATAAAAGTCTTATTTTTGAAAAAAGTCAGAAAAAGTCGTATAATCCGAGGCTTGTAAACATATAATTTTCATTATTATCATTTAATATGTAATAATATTCTAATAAATTAAATTATTATTGATAATATTAATCTTTAATTTCTTTATAACAAACAATTAAACACTCAATTTGGCGCGCTTGCGCGCGTTTAATTTTGCTAGTTACATATAATTAATTAAATATAATCGCATCAAAAAATTTATGGGTAAACCATTTGCCATAACCGCATAAACAGAAACTTAAAAACAGCGTCTGCTACATTTCAAATATCAGTGTCAAGAAAGTATGCGAAGAACACTGAAATTCGTCTGAATAGCAAAGCACGAACGATAAGCCACGCCTTCTAGTGGCTTGTTTGTCACGCCGCATCTTTACAACGGAGTTTCCCCTCCTGGTTCTAGTCTTCTTGCATCAGATACTTCTATTTTTAGTTTTCCTTTTTTATGCTACTTATTGATGGCTTCATGATATCAATACCACATTGTTGGCAAATCCATACATTTTCTTCTTTTTTCACCTTGTTCCCTACTGAAAATCCCTATATAAGATCTTGTACAATTTCCTGTACAGGATCAGCAACTAAACTTGTACAAGTTCTGGCCAGTTCCTGTACAGGAAAATGCATACGAATTTGGAACAAGTTTATGTGTGAGATCTTGTACAAGATGTGGTGCAAGATCTTGTACAAGAAAGATACTTGTACTAGAAAATATACATGATCTTGTACAATTTCATGTATAAGTACTTGTACATGAACACGTTCATGTTCTTGCACATGTATAGTTGTAAAATTTTTTTTTTTAATAAAATTTGAGATTTTGATAATTTTTAACCACTAAGATTCGTAACTCATACATGCTAAAAACTATTGCGCAGCTGTAAAGGTTAAAGTAAACTATTGCGCAGCTGTAAAGGTTAAAGTAAACTATTGCGCAGCCTTTGAAGTTTTTAATTTTTAGTAAAGAAAAACATGAATTAACATGTGCAAGAACATGGACGTGTTCATGTACAAGTACTTATACATGAAATTGTACAAGATCATGTACATTTTCTTGTACAAGTATCTTTCTTGTACAAGATGTTGCACCAGATCTTGTACAAGATCTCACACATGAACTTGTTCCAAATTCGTATGCATTTTCCTGTACAGGAACTGGCCAGAACTTGTACAAGTTCAGTTGCTGATCCTGTACAGGAAATTGTACAAGATCTTGTACAGGGATTTTCAGTAGGGTATATATTTTGGACTGTCAACCACGCATCCTCCGAGAAGTATTTTTCTATCAAATTTATATTTACTTCTTCATCAATAATCGCAGAACTTACTTTTTCCGGCATTATTTCTACTTGCTCTTCTTCAATTTTATTTCCCAGAAGTGCTTTTTCAGCAACTGTTTCCGGTACGAACCATTTTAACATTATTTTTATTTTGCCTTCTTTTTGTTTCCGAAAAGCAATAGTATCACATTTTTCCTTTTGATTATATTTATTCCTCCTTGGAAGACCTATTGGCGTTGTTGTTAATTTTGTTAATTTTCGGTTGTGATTTCACGGTTAAAAGTTCGCTCTGTGTGAAA